TTAGTTGGAGGTGTAGGTGTTGGGGGAAGAGATAATAGTTAGGGGGAGGCATAGGTGTTAGGGTAAGAGGTAATTGTTTGGGGGGAGGGGTACATGTTGGGGGAAGAGGTAAATTGTTAGGAGGAGGGTTAGATGTTGGGGGAAAGTTAAATAGTTAGGAAAAGGGGTAGGTGTTGGGGGAAAGTGAAATAGTTAGGGGGTGGGGTAGGTCTTGGAGGTAAGGGGTGATTGTTAGGAGGAAGGGTAGGCGTTGGGTGAAGGTTAAGTGTTTTCCGTGTTCAACTTGAGTCGGAACTACCGGCATCACGCTGTTTTCCATAGAGGTCACAATCATCATCATTATCATTGCAATGCTGCCCCTCACATCAGCCACTATTGATCTAATTTGAACGCTGTCAATGAAGGTTAGAACCAACTAATTCTAGATGTTGCTGTGTAGGAATGCAGAGGTTCTATCTGTAACATTGAGGATATGGAGCAGTGTTCACTCACTACTGATGACAACCACAAGGACCGCTCGAAGCTCTGTCACGTAGCCTGCCAGTTGAAAGGTAACTATATTGCACTGTGTCTAACCCTAACCCGATGTCTCTCTCATAAGATTTAACCTCTGCCAAAACAACGTATAACGACAATAGAGACAGCAATTATCATTTGCTTTGTAGTCTCATGCGTGGTACAATTATAATTATACTCTGTGTAAAAAATGGAAAAAAAGAAAACCCAACTTGTTTCATTTGTGGTCTTACATTCTGACCCTCTCAAATGCTGCATCAGAAGAGTGTTTCATCACCACGGCAACGCAGCAATCTATTAACAGTGTTGTCGCCGTGGCAACGCAGGAGCAATCTGTGAGAGATGTTGTTTATTTTGCAGATAAGCCGGAGACATGCACGAGTAGTTTCGAGATTTCTCAGCTGATGATGCTAAACAACAACACGGGCATATCGCTGCAGCCTGGTGCACCCTGCAATGAGTTCCAGGTGAGCCTGCTCGGCATAATGATTGACAGCCAGCTCTAGCCAATCGCAGAACATTCTAATAACAATGCTTGAGAACAAAGTTGTGCAGAGATGGCATATGGGTGGGCATACACACGTGGACGTGCGTATGTAAACTCGTCTAACTTGCTCGATCCAGCAGCAATGTTGGAGGAGGGGTTCGCTTAGTCGAAAATATTCATTTATTGTTCAATTATTCACAAAGGCGTCGTCGTTGTTTCAGGGTTACTGTGACGTGTTTCTGAAGTGTAGAGAGGTGGATGCCGATGGACCGCTAGCAAGGCTGAAGAATCTCATATTTAACCAGGACACCTTTAATAAGATAGCAACTTGGATCACGGTGAGCGGGACGCCGTGACTAGTGCGACGTGAAACTAAGACAGTGTTACTAATGTGACCTTGTAATAGCAAGGTATTAAAATACTGGAATGACTGTAACAAGGTATTACTAACCTGCGACATTGCACTAACAGAGTGCTACTAATGTGATAACATAAGAGCAAGGTATTAATGCTTTGACATGACAGAAACAATATTTTGGTTGGTGTGACATGACAGTAATGCAATATTACCTAGGCTTTGGTAGCTATTACTAGACCGTAACAAAGTATTACTCAGTGTTACATGACAGTAACAAAGCATTATTAGGCTGTGACATGACAGTAACACATTACGTATAATTACACTGTATTACTAGGCTGTGACATGACAGTTCCACAGTATCAATAGGCTGTGACTTGAAAGTTACACAGTATCTAATCACTAGGCTATTATTATATTATTATTTCGGGTGCCCTACTGTGCTACGGGCCTTGATTCACAGTTTTCACTGGCGGGTGCCGCCGCATACAAGGCTCTCTTCTTAGCTGTGATATGACATTAACACCGTATCACTAAGCCATGATATGATCAGTGGTGAAGACTGTGTGGTTTTTACATCTATAGGATTTCTGGTGGGCCGTTGTGCTCATGGTCATAGGACTCATCTGCTTCATGGCTCTGTTCATCAAGTGCTGTGCAGTGCACACACCCAGCAGCAATCCTAAACAACCGCCAGCAAAGAAGTTCAGCGATACACTGTCTCACACGCTGCGCCGGCGCCCACGACAGGTACATGTACGTAATCTCTGTCTGCTGTCTCTATCTCTCTCTCATCATACATATACTCTACATGTACCTCACAGTATATGCATATATATATACATATATATATATATATCTAATACATCTTCTGCATCCCACTATGTCTCTTAAATATTGTCTCTCTCGCTCTCCCTCTTTCTCTCTTTTTCCCCTTCCCCCTCTCTCTTTCTCTCTCTCTCTCTCTCGCTCTCGCTCGGTCTTTCTCTTTCTTTCTCCCTCTCTTGTTGGTGATGCAGCATGCTTGGGTTACTCAGTATGTATAGCACGCGTGGTGCTATGCTATGTGTTATATGTTATGTGCTATGTTGTGTGCTAGGTACATGATTGGCACATTACTGTCACGTGTATGCTCGTGTATTCCCAGGGTCAGCCGACAGTGCATGCGTCTGCCCCACCCGTCGAGGTCAGGGGAAGCGCTCCTCCAGGGTCCAGCCGGCAGGGCGGGGGACAGTCGCGCGGCCGCGGTGGTGCCGACAGCGAAGGCAAGAGGAATGACGGTAGGTTGGCTACCTACAGATACTCGTCTGCGTCGTCACTGTTTAAATATGATGCTAGAAATATACCGTTTTGTGTATAATGTTGATGCAATGCATCATGTGCGTGCGTGCGTGCGTGCGTGCGGGCGGGCATTGTTATATTAGAGTGTGCTGATGCCCTCGGCTGCAGTTTGCATAAATCTGTCATCATTGGAATCCCTACACGTTTTCCTTCTGCTCTAGGTCGTTCGCGAGGCGGTAACTCGAGAGGAGGAGGAGAAGGCGGCGGTGGCAGGGGAGGCGGAGGAGGAGGAGGAGGAGGAGGAGGAGGAGGGAGAGGAGGAAGCAGTGGCGACGATCGCGGGAGGAGCGAAGGAGCAGGGCGCGGCCCGCGCGGCGGAGGGCTGCCCAAGCAGGGCCGCTCGGCTGGGACTCCCTCGCGCGGCGAGCAGAGCGACCAGCCACGCCCGTCGTCGTCGCGTCCACCCGGCGGTCAGTCGTCCGCGCGTGACCGCCAGGGGGCGCCTCAGTCTTACAGCCAGCCGAGCGGCAGCAGCAGCAGTGCCAACGTAGCGAAGCAGACGGCGGGAGGCGGGAGCGAAGCAGTGGAGCTGCCGCCGCCGTACGAGCAGGTCGTCTCTCCGGCGCAGCAGGGGCCGCACCGCGGATACGGCAAGGGCCGCGGTCCGTTCATGAAGAGCAACAACATAGAGATGAATCCACGAGTCTAGCGTAAACTATATAGTTAACTATGAAATTACACCGCAGCTAAAACCGAAAGCCTTCTAGTGTGTCCTCCCCTCTACTGACTTGCCCCACACTATTCGTGTATAGCGTACGTTCTACTACGCGTATGTTACGTTATACTGTTCATTATCACACGTCGTACGATCGCTATAGTACATTGCACCATCTGCAAAGTATCTAGTAACATCTCTATGGTGCGGTTTACTGTCTGCAGGTTACGTTGTACTATGTGGAGGATACGCAGTGCATAGACACACATGCTCTTGAGTGCAGTGTCGATGCACGGACGGATAATGAGTAGTAATGATAGCATAATGAGTAGTGTGACCATAGAGCAGGGTCCTGGCGTGCAGCAAGGTAGTAGAGAGCAGGGTTGCAATATCTGTGATATACATATTGTAATTGAGAGGTAGACGCAGCGGTGACAGGGAGCATGTATTGGCGAGCATGCGTGCAGGTGAGGACGGGATCTGAAGATGTGTCTGACTTGTCACTCACCATGAGGTGTGACCGTCACTGGCCATGCGAGTGGAGAAATACTTGTCATTAAATGTTAAAGGACAAGGTGAGGGTGTACAAAAATCATGCTACCGTCGTCACGGAGACACGCATGTTCTTACAGTGACACATGCACGCTGTCACCATCGTCTCACCGCAACTCCTATCATCTCTTCTGAATTCACACAGAGGGCAGCACCAGCATGCTCCTCCCGTGGATGGTCTGTTGTTGTAGGAAGAGGCAGTTTGTAAAGAATTAATAGGAAATTGTTTATTTTTCTCGTCTGTCGTTCGTCTGCCTTCGTTGGTACGTGACAGTCTCCTGTATTGTCGTGCAACAACCAGTGAAACTATACGGAGTAGAGAAATGTGAACCGTAATCATTTTAATATTATTGCATGTTCCTATAATCATATAAGATGCGCAGGTTCTGATGCTTGAATACATATATATGATCACATTTCTTATTAACAATTACATAATTAACAAAAGTAAATATTCCCTCCCCCTGATTCCTGTGTGAGAGATTTTAAAAATCGATTACTTATTTTCCTACCTTATTAATTAACATTAAGCTTCTTCTACTGATCGTGGTAACTGTCTGCCAATGTATATATATATAGGGAGATATAATCGTTAATAGGATTGTAAACTTTGCTGTAGATCATGAAGAATTACACGTGGAGATGTACAGGCATGGAATTTGTGTGAGTGAATGAGAGAAATGCTGTAGATTACTGACTCGAGCATGATTCAGATAACACAGTCTTGTCGCACTGTTGGTCCCTTGGATCAATTTACAAGCAAGGTTTGCGACATGGTTGCAATGCAAATGTGTTGCTGATAACTTCTCATTTCATTGCTGCCAGTTTTTCTCAGTTATCGTTACGTAGATTTTGCTTCCATTCTTGACGACTGAGTGCGGAATGAACAGCTCTTGTTGGGGCATGAGAGAATCACAGATCGTTGCGTGGCAGCGTGAGTAGAACACACTTCTGGCAGCAGGCTGGTCGCTATGACAACGTCACGTTGGTTAGGCATAAAAATCCGAACATCTCGGTGTAAACATGAAGCCAGGCAGCAGCTGCAGTCAGAGTAAAGCTAGATGGCAGCCAGGCAAAGTAAAGGCTTGGAGTAATCATTCTGACTGATTGATTTATGTTGACGGTTAACGCGCAGCAGGCTCTAACAAGCATGGTGTTGATCGCCGACAAACTCTAATCGTAAGTAATAGCCGGATGAAATCATCACTACGGTACGAATTCCTATCCGCATCATTGCGTCAGCATCTTTGTGCAGCATTGCTGCATCCACACCCACAGCATATCTGCAGCATCTCCTCATCAGTATCTTCTGAATTTGCAGCGTATACTACACAGCTTTTCTCTGCATCAGCGTATTTTGCTATCGCTGTTCTCCAGTTTTCCGAGTTTCCACGTGTCAAAACAATACAAAACGTGATATATTTTGTCATCGCTGTTCTCCAGTTTTAGGGATTTCCACGCGTCAAAACAATACAAAACGATAATCACCTTTTTACGGTCGGTTAGAGGCGGATGTTTCACACATACACTAACGAGTAACGACTCGCAAGGAGTATCGTTAATGACGTAAAAGGTGACGTGCAGGGGGACGGCAGCGTTTCCAAGGCAACTGATAAAGCTAGATGATGTAGTGGACTAACTAATATCTGTTATTTAACGATTCGTGTACAGTATGTTATCAGTAGACCTATAGCGGGGGGTCGGGTCGGTTGCTCATATAGATCTGCTACATCTTAAATCCATTATGGATTACAACTTGTACAGGTAGTAAGTATTATATAATATAAATTACTGATATGCAATCAATTCTGATGGCATTTAGATTTGTCCACGCTGATGGTGGAGGCATTATGACAATATAGATGTAGTCTGGGAATAGACAATTATAAATAACAGGTATTTTTAATGACGTTTTACTTGGGGGTTCTCTGCTTTATTTGCCTGCCATGCGGTTATAGACTATATTTATAGAATTATGCCTATGTAGAAAAACGTTTTTTTGAACAGAGGGCAGCGTATGTGGTAACATCGTATCAGGAGTGAATAATATAGAGCTCTATTATTCACTCCTTATCGCATTTGTACCCTGACCTGACAGTACCACGTCACATGTACGTAACAGCACGCACGGTCGCTCTATCTAGATGGGAAGATGGCATGTGTGTGCTGAGAATTCACCTAGCTGGCTTCCCTGCTCACAAGCACCGCGTGTGCGCTGGCGTATATGAAGAGCTAATAATACCAAATAGCTAATACCTATTAGCTAATAGCTAATAAATGTATTATTAGCTCTTGCGTACATGTATGCAGAGCAAATCCTTAGCGCGTTTGCCCCCCTCGTTCTCTCGCTCTCTCTCTCTCTCGATCTCTCTCTCGTTCTCTCCGACTCATTCTCTCCTTCGCGCCCACTACTTCTGTACTATATTGTGCTGTATTGTACTGTCCAGTACAGTACTGTACTGTACTTTTAGAGTTGAGGGTAAATGTGAGAATAATGTTAATCTCGCCAATATGTAATGGCCCAAGATTAATTTTCACGTTGCATAATGGTTATATATTCAGCGTTTGCCATTTGTATACTGTATAATTCTCATATTGACTATTCAGTGGAAGATATTTTTTTTAAATTGCATTATACTTGTAAATAAAAAGCAGGTGGTAAAACTATTTCTTTCTTTTCTTGCTATAATGGTAGCATGTGCACATGCGTTGGAATGAATCTACTGGGGCATATGATATGCCTAATCGACAATCAATGTAGGTAACAGACAGCCACATGTCACACCTGCGTACCTAATTAACTGTTGAGTACGAGCGTTGGCATACCGAGAACGGTGCAATCACTAAATGAGGGAACTCCTAATAATAGTAATATATATACAGTGTAAATATGTACACAGGATGTACACGTACTACTGCATCGTTCACTATAGTCACGCCGATTTTAGCGCTGAGCACAAACATAGAAAGAACAAGCAGACCAACGTTTTATAACAATTAACTATTTTAATTATCCATCAGAAATAAATAACGTAAAAGGCGATATTGCATACGGTCTTTGATAACATTCATTTATCGTGCTGTTGCGTTGCACACGCATCACGCATATACAATCGAACACGGACGGATCCCCTGTAATGTCACATACTCTACAACTTCACCGTTTTTACAGAGCGTTTTGGCTGCAGACGGTTCAACACGCACTAACAAATAGCTCTATTGTACATACATGTGATCAGGAGTAGATAATAGAAAAATATGTCTATTATGTTCCAATTTTCTATTATGGACGCTTGATGTGATCTTGATGTGATCATGATATGACATTCTAGCATGAGCACCTATATATACTCGTTTCAGGAGTGAATAAAAACTTGCTCTGTTATATGTGTGTGCGTGCGTGCGTGTTCATGGGAATTCGCAATGCTTCATATCCAGAGAGACATGATACAAGATTGCGTGGCACAGCTTTGCTGTGGATCCTGAGCGCTGCGCGCGGATGAGACGCGCAGTTCCGCGGGATATGTGCACGCGACCGCGGGGATGTTCAAGTATGAAGCGCAGGAGTGCAAAACATGAGACGTGCCGATTATGCTGTCCAGGTGCAATTTACACAGGAGCAATGCACCCGAAACATTGCCAATACCCACTGTGAAGACGTCAAAGTTACACGAATCGGCACAACATACGTGATGCGGCAAGGCGCAATTGAATAAATGAGCTTTAATAAATGTCAGGTTACATATCATGTTGGCCAAGGTAAGGTGCAAACACAATGAATAGTCTCCTAAGTGAGTAGAATATAACAGGCATGTCCTCATAGATTCCACACAATCTTACACAGTGATGAGACGTTCTCAATGATTTCATGGAAATTATGCATTTATTTTAATATTATTACTACTTGCGTTGTTTTTATTAAAAATATCTATCCCATGGCTAAAACTGACTAGAGCCATGCTTTCCGTTTTACACTATCATCCCATCCATTTACTGGATGGCAAACGTACCTCCATATTGTCACACACGCACGCATGACAACCAAAAATCAAAATAGCGTATCAAATACACATATTTCATATACCCACACGTCGCCGCTTCAAGATAACTTATCGTTTGTTAAACCCGACTACATCTATGGCAGCTTCTCTGTGCGAGTGTCCATCTCACGTCAGCCTGGGACCACGGCTAGGACCAGGCCATCCTTAAAAAATTCTATGTTTGCTGTCCCCCGGCCCATGATTTTTTTAGTGGGTAGGTAGGTAGGTCTTTTTTTGTGAGGCATAATAGTTATTTTAAGTCTGTCCTCATGTTTGTGACACGTGCTTTGTGTTTCAGTCTTAACTATAAGAAATGTAAAAAAAAAAGGAACCCAAAATGTAAAAAAAACTTTTGGGTCGCGGCTATTTTCGTGGGTCGGTCGGAGGACAGCAAACATATTTTTTTAAGGATGGCCCCACGGCTAGGACCACGGCTGGGACCACGGCTAGGACCATGGCTGGAACCATGGCTGGGACCACGGCTAGGGCCGTGGCTGGGACTGTGGCTAGGACTACGGCTAGGACCGCGGCTGGGATCATAGCTGGGACACGGCTAGCACTGCGGCTAGAACCTCGTCATAGCCTAAGACTGGAATGCGTGCAGCTGGTCACCGAATCCCTGCTGCTGCATGATCTATGTGCAAGCGTCCATCTCACGTCAGCTTAGGACCACAGCTAGGACCGCGGCTAGGACCGCGGCTAGGACCGCGGCTGGGACCACGGCTAGGACCACAGCTAGGACCGCAGGTGGCACCGCGACTAAGACCACGGCTGGGACCGCAGCTAGGACCACGGCTAGGACCGCGCTGGGACCACGGCTAGGACCACGGCTAGGACCGCACGGTGGCAGGCAACTAAGACCAGACGGCTGGGACGCACTGGACCACGGTATGGACGCAGCTAAGAAACCGCGGCTGGGACACGACATAGGACGGCACAGCTAGGCACGGCTAGGACCGCCGGTCTGGGACGTCACGGCTAGACGCGCGACGTGCGACCACGACTAGGAAACCACAGCTATGGACCGCGGCCTAGCGACCGCGTAGGACCGCGGCTGGGACCACGGCTGGGACCGCGACTAAGACCACGGCTAGGACTGCGGCTAGGACCACGGCTGGGACCGCGGCTAGGATCATGGCTGGGACCGCGTCACAGCCTAGGCCTAGTGACGGCAGCACGTCCACATCCACACCTCGCCTCAGCCTAGGACTGGAACGCGTGCAGCTGGTCGCCGAGCCCCTGCTGCTGCAGGATATCGACGGCGGCGTTCGTGAACGGCGTCGGGCCGCACACGCAGACGAGCAGCTTGCTGCTGTCCGACAGCACCGCGGGCAGGACGCGACGCACGATAGCGGCGTCGACGCGCCCGCGCTCGCCCGTCCAGCCGTCACCGGCCTGCGAGAGCACGTGGTGCACGCCGAACCGGCCCGGCTTGCGGCACGCAAGCGCGTCGAAGTCCTTCCGCCAGACTATGTCCGCCTCCGTCTTGTTGAAGAACACGAGCGTGACAGCGGGCGCCGCATCGTCGTCGCCGTCGCTTTCCTCGAGCGCGCGGTAGATGAGGCGTATCATCGGCGTGATGCCCGTGCCGGCGGCGAACATCACGAGATGCGTGCATCCATCGAGACGGGACGCCGAGAAGCGGCCGTCGAACGACGAGACGCGCAGCGCGTCGCCGGCCACGAGCCGGCCGAACATTGGCGTCAGCGCGCCGTCGTCGTACACCTTCACGACGAGGTAGAGCGCGCGTCCGGCGGCGACGCGCGGGTCCTGCGCGGCGGGGTCGAGCGAGGGCAGCACGGCCGTGTACGGCCGACTCACCTCCACGCCGTCGACCGTCGCCGTGACGAACACGTGCCGGCCGACGGGCACGCGCATGCGGCAGCCGGCAGGCAGCCCGACGCCGATGAGCAGCGTGTCGTGGCTGACGCGCCGCGACGACAGCACCTCGCAGTCCCAGTAGTGCGGCTCACGCGCCGCCGTCTTGTCCCACGACGTGTGCCCGCACAGCGGCTGCCCGACATCCGGCCACACGGCGCCCGGCGGCGCCTTCGTGAGCGTGATCTCGACGCGGCCGCGCGCGTCGACGCGGATCGCGTGCTCATCGTCGTCCTCGCTCAGCGCGCCCTCCAGCTCGAGGTGGATCTCGTACGTGCGGTCGCGCACGCGGAAGAGCGCGCGCAGGTCGCGACCCCGCCGATCGACGACGACGAGGTCGCGCTCGAAGCCCTCGCAGCGCGTGTACACGACGACGACGAGCACGTCGTCGCGCTGCCACCACTCATAGTGTGGCTTGGCGGGGGACGTCGCCGTCGGCGCGTTCCGCAGCGGCAGGCGCTTCTCGATCGACAGCAGCGACTCCTCCGAAGCCGACACCGAGTACTCGTTGCGCGGCTTGTAGAGCCGGAAGTTGGGCTTGCTGCGTGCGGGGCTGCCGACCATGCGGCCGACGAGGCACTTGCTGAGCATCGACTCGATGTTCACCCAGCGGTGCACCTCGTTGAAGAGGTCGAGCGCGTCCTGGCCCGCGCCGCGCATCAGCTCGTCGGATCCGCCCGGGTGATACTGCATGTAGGGCGTCACGTTGTAGACGGTGCCCTTCAGGCACATCCAGCAGTCGTCGGGCGCATTGTGCCGCGCCAGCTGCTCCGGAGTCACGCTCAGACGGTTGCCGCCGACGCCCGCCAAGTCGACGCCGCTGTTTCCGAGCCGCACCCAGTCCATGAGCGAGTGGCGCGGCAGCAGCGCCACCTTCCCTCTCCGCTCGATGGATTCTGACGAGCTCTTTCCCGTCTGCAGGCGTTGTTGGCTCTCCGTCGCCGGGAACTGCGGCACCGACATTACGGGCGTGCTGTCTTGAGAGCTCTCCTGGCTGGCCATGTCGGCTTCCTTACTGCTGCTTATAACTCCCGTGTTCTCTGGGATTACCGGGACGTTGATGTTGATGGCCGGACAATCTGCAACGTTTGGCACCACTTCAGCTGCAGGTGCCGTTGCCATGACGACGTTCGAAGAATTACAACCCATTGCGCCAGTGTTGAGAAAAACACTGGGCACCTGTAACTAATAACAATGCCATAAACCTTAAAAACTAGCGTGCGTCAGACTCGCGCTAAATATTTGCAGTGTGTACATACTATGTCATATGAGTCTATTCCGCTCAAAATACGCGCTGGCCTGCTCCAAGCTAGCCCTGCCAATGAAGACACACAGACACACACACACACGCACACACACACGCACGCACGCGCGCACACACACACATACAGTGACAGACGCACGCACGCACGCACGCACGCACGCACGCACGCACACACAACCAACATGGCCTTACGCTGCCCCAAATAACTACAAAACAAACAACAGGGACAGATAACGTTGTACCACCGCGGCCCAAGTCTACTTTACGACCATCAATTAAGTGCTACGTCTACGCAGAGTCCTACCATAAGTAATGGCATTGTAGCTCCAAGAAACGGTATTGCTACTGCTAGGGTTAGAATAGACAATCCGTATAGACAATCCGTCGCACAGCCTAGCTGGTCGGGCTAATGTCATTGTAACCCGACCAGGCTGTGTGAGTAACGTCAATACACCAAATTGTGACTATACGTCAATACGTCAGACCAGGCTGTGTGACTAACGTCAATAGCAATACCGTTTCTTGGAGCTAATGTCATTGATGCATCGACCCACACGACCCCAGAATAAATAGCAGCAGCTCAAGCTTAGGTTACACCCCAAATTACTTAATATGACAATGTACCAATGAATACGCTGTTGAGATTTAACTTCTCACCTTTACACCCGCTGGTGCTTCTATAAACAAGGCCGACGATGCTGTGACCCTTATGTCATCACTTTCCATCGTTTACGAGGATTAGCTAACGAATGCGCATATTTACATCGCGCGCAGCATCGCCTGACAGTTTAAAGGTGGCGCCACTTACAAGGACCCTCCCATATCTGAAAATTTTTCAGTGGAAGTGTTTTGTAGTTCAGGCAATTTCTTTGTTATTGTCAAGGTAAGAGCTCTAATTCGCTATAATATCATCTAGTTTATATACAAAATTATAAAGCCAATATATTAACGGCTAATGTGTCATGATTTACTGCTCAAAATATTGCAATACCAAGTTGCTGTACTGAAAGTCAGACTGAGAGTCAGTACTGGCCTAGGCGTTTATGTTATGCCTTATGGGTAGGGGCGTGTTTCCCATTGTTAATTAATTAGTTTAATTTATGGTAAATCCAATTTCACAGGTGAAAAATAATTTACTTAAGAGTCCTTGTTTTTCATGATGTATAGTGTCCTGCGTGAATCTTTCCAAAGAGGTTGACGATTTTGTCTAAAATGTAATAATTGTTATGTAAATTAACACTGTGTTTGTGGTTTTAATACTTTTGTTTAAGAAACTATAATCCGTTACCCGAGTGCAGTACGTTATTACAATAATGATTAGAAATGTTATATCTGCCTAAATGGGACAGCCTAATGTGTATGCAATGAAGGCTGTTATGTTAATATCCGTTATTTTGAATATTAAAGTATGACACAATTTCACATCATGCTTTGATTTCAACAGTAATCAGTTTTTTATCAGACGACAAATAAAAGATATCACAAAGAGTAAGCCATCAAAATACCTGTGAGCAGAAATGAGCGAATTAGATGTTGGGCAAAGTGAGGGGATATCAGGGCACGAGAAAAAGATAACTCAATTGACGACTGAATCACTGAAATATCAGTTGACAAAATATTAGTGCGCGAAATTAGCGCTATTTTGTCGGCGGCCACCGGTTCAACCCCCTAAACCGCCGGTTCAAACCGCCCCCTTATGATCAGTCCACTTGGCCTATTCAAAAGTTTGCTTATCTTGCCTTTATATCAACAATATTTACCTAGTGACTACTAAGAAGTAAATCATGTTCCAGTGATTCCTGTCACACAAGTAGAACTCCACTGATAGCAATGAAATACTGAAATACTATGAGTGTGCCTAATAAACACAAAGCTAAATACTTTTAGTAATAATAGAATAAATTGAACACAATTAAGGACCTGTTCAATTTGTCTAGGGGCCTGTTTAAAATTTTAGGTGGGCCTGTTCACATTTTGGCTCATTTCATGCCTTGAAATATGGTAGTCAATCTTCACTGGGAATTTTGAGGTTTTTTTTTTGAGGGGTTAACTTGAGGAGGGGAATTTTGTGTGTGCTGCCACATGGAAAACACATGTTATACCCCTAATCTAGCAGGGCTACGTTATCCTATCTCTGCGTACAATGGGATATAATTCTATTTAGACAGGAGTAGGATGATGGTGTCTAGTGAGTGGAAGAAATCCTATATTTACATTAAGTATGTTTACGATAGATCATGATGGTGACTGGTGTATCAAATCAGTGAAATCACTACCACTACCTAGTGAATGTGAATTTATACCTGTCAGCAGTTATTTTAACATTTCAACACACAGCGTGGCTTACTACAGTAGAAATTTTCACTACAAAAAGAGTGTGTAATGCTTGAAATCATGTTTAAAAATGAACATTGTAAAAGAAAAATACCGTAAACATGAAAGCAGAAGTTACTTTATATAAATTAATTATTCATTTTTAGTTTATTAACAAAACATTTTGTTATAAAATACAGGATTAAAAAAGTTTGAGAGTTTTCGAAATGTCCAGATTCTCCGGTGGTTCGCATTTTTGGACTTCTACTGTAGGAGTTTATTAGATGGTATAATTACATGGGGGGGAGCTATTACATGCTTATTAGTAGTCGGCTAGTCGCACGTACACAAGACATCTTTGTGAAGCAATGTCCTCCTCCAAGCATGCATTATCTGTGTGGGCGGGGTTTGTGGAGTAATGACGTAGTTTCTGGTAGCCCTATGTCCGTACCGTGCATGTGGGCGTATCCACATCCTAACCACGTATATTGCGAATATCCATTGCACAATGTCTTACGCGATGACTATGCGGGAAATCTGGTCACGCCTCTGTGTACGCGCGCATTCCTGGAGTGGTTTTTGACTTGGCTAAGCAGCATAGCATTTGGTGTCATTGCCCCACTGTGCGCGTGAAGTACAAGGCGGTAGTACGTGAATGATTATCGCTTGTTTTCTCAGTCCTACATTGCTGCTTTAACACGTGAGTTCATTCTACTGCCAGGACATTATTGAGGCTGGATTTTACTAGTTAGTGCTCGAACTATCTGTGGCTATATCAGTGATGTAAGTATATGCAGGCAGGGCGCGAATTAGCACAGGCCCACCGGCATATGCCGGAAAATGATTTGGAGGGCCGGTAACATTGACAAAACACCGGCCTTCTGAGTCGGTGGTTTCACGTGTTAGCGAGTACTTACATTTTTATTTATACCATTAATGGGCAAATAGCCTCTAAATTACTGTTTTACCTGAAGGATGTCACATGTGCCATAATTTATCAACATTGGCTCAATCGAGAATCGAGAATGCAAGCGTGAAACATGACATTGATTTTCAAACAAAATTTGTGAGGGCTGATAAATTATGGTGAGGGCTAGTAAAAAATTGCTGTTACCAGCCCTCTGGGCCGGTGCAAAAAAATCTGAATTTTATGCCCTGGCAGGTTATAAAGGCATATAAGTGGGTGATATATTACCTTTGTTTAATCATTAATTTGTTAGGGGTGTAACGATTCACCAATGTATCGATGAATCGCGATACAGCGGCCTTACAATACAATAATTAATACTCGGTATCCGTTTTGCGATACAAACGACACGGATGTTAAACAGTGAATGAGGCAAGCTAAACTGTTTAATAATGCACGTGTAAATTCCTTTTACATTGAATCCTTTCTTTTATTTGATAAACTATTAGTTTCACCTACTACCTACGGCTGTCGTAGAAGTCAATATATGTGGCGCGCTTGTATTGCCGCCAAAATTGTTACCGCAAAACAATCAAGAGTGCTGTTTGACTGGTGTGGGTCGATATTGCGCACGTACAGTAGCGCTCATAGGGTCTATATCCCCCAGGGTACTGCCGGAACGTACCCTGGTAACTATCTAGCTGATGTGGTTAGGGTTAGAGTTAGTGTTAGGGAGTAGGCGTAGGCGACTCACTAGACTCGTTAGTCGAGTAGGCATATTAGATAGTTACCAGGGTACGTTCCGGCAGTACCCTGGGGGACATAGACCCTATCAGCTACAGTAGCACTGTGTACATGGCATTCATGTAAGTGGAGCCGTTGATTACAGGTTAGTCTAAAGCGCACTCAGATTGTCCTAAAATAAAAAAAATCGAGTTACGTTGCAGTTGGGTATTAATATAATTGAACTTTTGTAATTTGCCCTCGGTCTGTAACGTGCAAAATAAATCGGCGGAAGCACAACTTGGCCAGGTTGGCAGCACAATCCCGCGGTGTAATTTCAGCAGTCAAAAATAAAGATGTCCAAACTCACTGTAGTTTTATGAGGAATGCGAATGTATGCTAATAGAAATTTGTAGGTATATACCTATATATATCTTTATGCACTAACTATCATATACTCTAAAATTCTAGGGTATTGTATTCCTTGAATTAGAATTGAATTAGTTGATTTACAAATAACCATTAATAATAAAAAACATGGTTAATTCGTACATCATGACAAATTTATTGTAGTATGCAATTCACAATTCACTCTTTGTGGCTGTGTATCGCGATACGTTTCATATCGTGATCTATGTATCGAGATACGTATCATATTGTGACCCTAGTGTATCGTTACACCTCTAGTATTTGTGTAGGAATTATGGAGTTGTACAATAATTCTAGCACTTCTCACCTCTCTCTCTTCCCCCGTCTCTCTCTCTCTCTCTCTCCCACTCTCCCTCACCTTTTCTCTTCCTCTTGCTCCTCTCTCTCTCTCATTCGTGCTCTTACTCTCATTCTCTCCCACACTCTTGCTGTGTGTGTGATTCATAATCTGGTTCCAGTATATTAGTATACCATTGAAATGAGGGCTGGCTTGAGGCTAACCGCGATTCTGTCGCGAAGTCCACAGTGCCTTTGTGCTCGTTAGTTTAGCATTGCTTTCGTTGTTCCCACAGTTTATTGGCCGCCATCGACGATACTACGTGAGCAGTGAGTAAAAGCAGAAGGCAGCTAGCTAGCAACACACACACACACACAGAAGTCATGGGCTATCGTATGTGCACGGGTCTCGTCAGCCTATGCCTGTTTCTCGCCACGGCGTCGGCCGTCGTAGCGTTCTTCGTCGACTTCTGGGGAGAGTTTGTGTTTGCGAACGTCGTGCATGGCGGAACGTTTGGCCTGTGGAGAGTCTGTCCCGTCAGGCTCACCCACAAGACATGCGACTGGATCCACAAGGACCTGCCCAATCTCGATAGGTTGAATGGCATACCTAGTAAGTATCTAACCATTACGTGGGGCAGTCGGAGATAGCAGTGTGTACTGGCACTGGGAAGGGGCATGACAGTACTGTAAAACACAACGTGTTGATGTTAATGATGGTCAGATGATGTTGTTGATGGTGATGATGAACTTGATGATGTTGTTGATGGTGTTGATGTTGTTGATGATGTTGATGATGTTGATGATGATGTTGATGATGATAATGATGATGCTGACACGTAACAACACTGTGTTTGTGTCTTTTCAGATTGGTTCCTCGCCTGTGAGATCATGTTTACTATATCGACTGGCTCGCTGGTATTCTGCCTCATCCTGCTGCCTTTCTATGGATGCCTGTGCTCTAAGGGAGGTGGCTGCTTCAACTTCATGGGCCGCATGATCTACTCCACGCTCGTTCTTGCTGGTAAGACCCTGAAGCTTAGCTCTTCACTCATCCGTATTTACTTTTAACTGACAGTTTGAGTTGGCAGATGTGAGCAGCAACATAATCAGCACCTAAGAATAAGCTATGATAACGTGGCACCATCTAGTGTAGCTTGCAGTATTAGTATATATGTAGTTTTCTGCTTGTGTTTGAGTGACTTGTGTCATTATTATGCAATGGTGATGGCCCTGCATCATGAGTGTGCTACAGTGTTGCCACATGTGTCGTTAATTCACTACAGTGTTGACCCTGCATCATTACCATGCTACAGTGTCACCCTGTGTCGTTAATGTGCTACAGTGTCGCCCCCTGTGTCGTTAATGCGCTACAGAGTCGCCCCTGTGTTGTTAATATGCTACAGTGTCGCCCCTGTGTTGTTAATGTGCTACAGTGTTGCCACCTGTGTCGTTAATGCGCTACAGTGTTGCCATCTGTGTCGTTCATGCACTACAGTGTCGCCCCTGTGTCGTTAACGTGCTACAGTGTCGCCCCCTGTTTGCAGCGCTGGTGATGGGTGTTGGACTGCTGGTGTTCGGACTGGAGGTGCATCTGGGAGACAGAGAAGTGATCCTGGGGAAGACCGTTCACGGACTGGAGTGGGCGTTCTGGCTCATGGTCGGCTCGTGGGCCATGACGGCTATCTCGGTGTCCGTGATGTTCCTCGCACACCGACGGGCCCTCGACTAGAAGCGACCGCGCAGCAGGACGATAGACTGGCGACGTCCACCGTCATCATTGCCTCGGGGTCTGACCGTTGTGGGTCGGGCGCCGCGAGAGAGCTAAACTAGAGAGACAGTCTATAGTAGTGACTGCGTGTGTGTGCTGCTTGCATTCGTGTTGTGATGTCGGTGATGTTAGGTGATGTCAGGTGACGTCTGATGATGTTTGCTGATGTCAGGTGATGTTAGGTGACATCAGGCAACGTCAGGGGACGTTAAGTGACGTCAGGTGACATCGGGGGAGGTTAGGTGATATCAGGTGAGGTCAGATGATATAAGGTAATGTCAGATGACGTTAGGTGACGTTTGCATGTAGGATACCCGCAGGTACAATATCGTCGTTTGAGAATATTTGTCTGCCGCGTGGCAGCGAATGGCCGACCAGCCTGAAACGAGCATGTTTCTAGGAAGCAGATTACCGTAGTAGGTGGCGGGCTGCTAAGCGTCTACACTAGCGTTGAACAGATAGAGAAAGGTGCATTTAACCATCGTCGACTGTTGGAAGACGTTTCCAGTAAAGTCGCTGTCTGCTGATAGTATAACATCCAGCTTGCTAATAACATCAGGTACTGTTCTCACGTCTGCGCCGTGCATCTGTGTACCTGGTGGTCGTATGCCCTCACGCTCCTTCTCTGCTCATTTCTCACTTGCTAGTCTAGTGCTGGCTGCCCTCACATTTACATGTTTGAGCAGCGTGGTTCGAAACTGCTAGAATTCTGACTACTTCACAGAATCATCTGAATATGTACTATTACTCGAGCTGTTGGTACTGGTTGACATTGGTAGCATGCATGATTGTGGTTTCGTGGTATTTATCCTATAATAATAGTAGATGTTAATCTCTCACATTAAGCGAAACGCCTGCGAATCAATTATTTTGAATAATTTATCTCGTATTCGTTAAAAGCGAGTCTAATCAAAGGTAGTGAGAAATATGATTGAAATATGAAATAGGTTGTTTGTTGAAATTACCTGTGCGTATCGTAACGTTGTAAGCCACATTATGTGTATATGATTCAAATACGTCTTATTCATGAGTTCTGGTAGAATTCACCTGTAGAGTATATATTTTCGCACTTGAGACATAATATCGATATCTTTAATTTGGAAAGATATATTATTAGTTTTATCAGGTTTATAAAGATATTATTTTTATGCTTACACACATATATAATGATACTAAGACACTTGAATCGATTTAGGTATATGTGTCAGCTAGACATGATACATAAATGACTGTACCGTAGGTAGTTGCATGGTAGGTAGTCTATAATGCTGTCGTTGTTGATGTTTATAAACGTGTGTATGTGTGCGCGCGTGCGTGCATTCGTGCGTGCGTGAATGATCGTTTTATGAAATCTATTACGTGGCAGCAAATCGGCACAGCTTCCCAAGATCTGCTGAGTGGTGTCTGCTTTGCATTTATTTATCTCTCTCGCTCTGTATGCTGTATACTTCTCAGCGGTATGCTTCCACGCCTACCTGATGTTCTGCCCTTCTCAGTCACATACTCAATGCTCTGTCCAAGCATCCCACCATCCGCAGGGTTCCTAAATCTCAGCATCTCTGCATCCGTGCATCCCAGCATCATTGTATTCATGAATACCAGCATCCCAACGTGCCAGTATCCTAGCATCCATGCCTCCGTGCATGCTAGCATCCATGCATACTAGCATCCCTGCATCCCAGCATTGCGGCTGGCCCTCAGATGCTATGCCTATATTTATATTTCAGGCGATGCATTCGATATGTATACTGAATCGCTCTATCGCACACACGATTAAAACTACGATAGAATTCTCAGCATGTTTGTCTATGCCCACGCTTGTATTCATCATGAATGTAATGTAGTGGTTTTATTAACCAGCTAATTAAATGCTGGTTTATTATGATTTATGCTTTTATAGCTGACATGGAGACGTGGTGTTTAAAACCAATATTATTTCTGTAATCCACACTGTTGAATAGGCCGTTGGCCCTTCAATATTATTACAGGTTTACCACTTATATATTAAACTGTTTCTACATTGTTTTAAAAGCACTTTTCACATGTTTTTTAACAACCCATTGCACTTGTTTATCTGATATCCTGCGTAATATTTTTAGCATAATAATAGATTTAAAGCTGTGGTATTTACTTGTGAATGACGCATAATAACTATTAGGAAGTCTTGTATGTATCGTTTTTACGGCCTTTTTTCATTTTAACCGTGTTAGTGTAATATTGCATTATGAACTGTAGTGTCGTTACTTGTGCGCGTGTGTATTTTGTACGATTGTGAAACGATTTCTACTGTAGGCCTACCTATGTTTAAATGTATTTATGACCGCGACACAGCGTGTAAAGGACGCCTGGCTCGGGGTAAAGTTCAACTATAATAGAAGGCCCGTTATTGTTTCGTTACGGATTCAATTTGTCTCTGGACGTGATCTAACTGATACATCTGTAACCGATTCATCCATCCAGTTTACGTAACAATGCGTAATACTATCGCCTACTATACCGTACTATAACATACTGTAACGTGCTGACGCGTGCTATGATATACTATGTCACTAACTGTAACGTGCTACTCTGTGCTGACGCGTGCTATGATGTACTATCTCACGCACTGTAACGTACTATTCCGTGCTGACGCGTGCTATAATATACTATGTCGCGTACTGTAATGCACTATTCCGTATTATCATGAATCGTACGCCAATGCGATCGCCACCCTATTTTATCCTTTACAAAGTTATAGATTTTTATACAAGATAATTACTAGTTTCCAAGGTATCGCGTAGTGTGGTTGTAGTTGGTTTATCCTACTTTAATTTATTAACGTTTATAAGTGATCGATGATTATAATGTTTTTAATTCAGATTGTAGGTTCGCAGGCATAAATTATGATAGGTTACGTATAATATACACGTGATTGTTTTCGGCGGGCGGTCGCTTATAGATCCATCGCCATATCTTTTATTACATTAGTGTGAATAGCTATTTTTGTATGTCTCGTATTTGCTACATCCCTTTAGGGGATTTGTGTTTTTCTCATACATGTGTAAATGCATTCGTATGTGTAATGTGTGTAAACGTGCTGCTGCTGCTGCTGCTGCTGCTGCTACTGCTGCCGTGCGCGTGTCGTCGTGTATTGTCGTGCTCTCTCCTATGGCTGGCAGGAAGGATGGCAATTACTGCATAATCTGCCCCCCAATCGTATTCGCGCCCGAATCTCTAATATAACAGATCTCTCGAATTTCCAGCTAAATACTCTGGTATGGTACTCTACTATGGTCGAGACCGTCTAACAATAATATTTTACTTTTGACTGATAGCAATGTTTACAGTTTGCTTAAACGTATAGACCTCGGGGTGTTGATATAATATGTTAATTATGTTTAAAAAAATAATTTTGGTTTATTTTCGCCATTGAATTTGATTGAAACTCGTAATTGCTATTTGATATTATCAGGAGTGAGATACTCGTATACTACTCATAGCAATCGATAGTAATCGTCAATGGTATTTCTGCAAAATAAAATTCTGTAGTCTTTAAAAAGATCTGATTGGTTGGCCGCAATCGATTACTGATAATTTGGATGAAATACAGGGCTGATCTATCATGAATGATCGTATATCAGTTTCTTTATCTCGCTCCCTGTGATGTAACGACCACCTGTAACGAGGATGCTATATATAACCAATAAATTGTCAGCTGTCTTATTACACAAATCTGCTGCTCTATGTTCGTGCGTGCGTGTGCGTGTGCGTGTGTTAGTACATTGCGTGTATGGGGATATGGTTGAGAATGTGCGTGCGTGTGCGTGTGTTAGTGCATGCGTGTATGTGGATATGGTTGAGAATGTGCGTGTGCGCGCTTGCGTGTGTGGGTGTAATTGTATGGTTGGCTATCGTACTCAGAAATAATTAGTTTTACCGCGGTAAATTTATATCCCTTTTTAGTCATGAGCCTTGTTACACATAATTTAACCGCGGTTCCTCTGAGGCAGAGGAGCCGCGGTTAAATTATGTGTAACAAGGCTCATGACTAAAAAGGGATATAAATACTCTCCTTCCTCGCTTCTCTTCCTCGTCATCCCCCTCCTAGCTCTCCTCCTGCTCCTTATCCTCTTTCCTACCATCATTTTTTCCACTCTTGCTTCTTATTTTTGTCGTCGTCATCGACCTTTTCTCCGTCTTTTTCTTCTTCTTTTTCTTAGTGAATAGAACGTAACTAATCGTATAGTCCAGTTTCCATCTCTCTCACCTCTCCCTTTTTATCTCCCCCGACCTTTTTCCACCTACCTCACATTCTCCTTCCGATCTTTCCTTCCTTCTTCTTTCAACCCCCCATCTTCTATTAATTTTCCCTGCCTTCTCATTTAAACCTATCCGCATTCTCCTTTCCATCTCCCCTGTCCTACCACGCACACCTGTCTTCCCGTTACCTATCTCCCCCGCCGTATCCTTTTTTTATCCCCTGCCTTCGCCATTCAGTCTCCCTTGTATTTTCCTTTCGAATCTCCCCGCCTTTTCCTTTCTACCTCTCCGCCTTCTTTCCATCTTCTCGCCGTCTTTTTGCGATACCCAGCCTTCTCCCGCACTAAATTCCAGCTCGCCGCTTTTCCCCATCCCTTTTGCCTTGTCCTTCCTATATCCCCCACCGCTTTCTCCTTTACAACCATCCACCCTGTGTTCTCCTTCCCATCTTCCCTAGCTTCACCTTTGGCGCACATACTGATCTGAATGCGGGGGTATATAGAGGGGATGACCTAGACGATATATTATTCTTACCTTCTATGTTTTACAACGGTTTCTTCTGAAGCGTTATTATAAGGTTAGACAACAAAATTGCGTTCCAGAATTTACCGGTATTTAATGATTAATCGCTACGTGCGCTACTGCCCGCTATAACAAATGGCGCTTTCTCTACTGCCATCAATAACAATTATATTTTAATTAGCTCTTGGATTCCACCGTCGTGGTCGCTTAAACGTGACATCGTTAAACGAAGATAATTATATCTCGGGTTTTCGTGTTTCCTCGACATCGGGGCTGGCAGTCGGGTAAACAGCATCTCGTGACGTAAACACGTCGCTAGCGTTTCCATCCTTCCCTTGTTCGCTGTTAATCGATGTCACATCTGACATGCTGTGACAGCGATTGAGTCCCTTCGAGCGATGACGTCACAGACTCAACAATTTCGGCCCGGTATATCGTCTGCGACCGACGCGCGCACAAGAGCTTTTTTTACCTATCAACTGCAGAATCGATGGATTCTTATTATATATATCTCGTTATATTCTTTGCTGGACTAGTTCGCATCCGAAGTTTTTTCTAACTCGTGTAGGTCGATACGCGGGCAATACTATAAGCAAGTCCCCAGAGTGTGGTACGCTGAGCAAATCAATCCTCGTGTGTTAGGGGCGTCGTGTATTTAAATCGGTCGGCGTCGACGAACATAAAATGTGTTCGATCCCCGCGGCCTGCTTTGGCTCCCGGGCCCCCCACTCAGTGTTATTTAGGGTACGCATATGCTCGTTCCCTCCCTTTGAAAGCACCCCACTATCTCAGGACTGCCAAAATTTCTGAACCCCCCTTTCGCGGGCTTTTTGCGGGTTTTTCCTGCCTTGGAGTCCCCCCTAAATCCGAAATGATCCTGAATGAGCTTTCAAAACTAGCAGGAATTTCAGGAATTTGATCCCGGGATTTGATAAAGTTTTCTATGATAATCAAGATGAAAGAGAGAAAGGAAAAACACCCTCTTTTTAAAGAAATCTCCGGGTGAAAAGTCAAATACACCCCCTTTTTTACAATTCTCGGGCCGGATTTTGTCGCGCGAAAAATACCCCTTTACCGGAGATTTTGGGAACGCGCATATGCGGTCCCTCCGACCTCGGAGTGGGGGGCCCGGGCTTTGGCTATATGGCCATATCTGTATGTTTGCTTGAATTAAATCCAAATATTTCTATTTCGCTCTCTCTCTCTCTCTCTCTCTCTCTCTCTCTCTCTCTCTTCTCTCTCTCTCTCTCTCTCTCTCTCTGTCAACACGATCGCACTTACGACATCAGCTAGAACACTTTGTTGGAGTTGAGAGACGATCAAAACCAGTTTGTTATCTATGAGATATCATATATATAATTTTATTTGATTAATTGTAATCACTGATTTTATTCACGATTGAATGCAGGTACTATGCAAGCCTACAGCCATGTCCAAGAGCAACCAATTGCAGTCGCATTGAGACGCATTGATGCAATATAATACAGCGCTCGTCTTACTGTTTCTGCGGTTCAGGGTTGGAAAGATATAGTACAGACAGTAGTACTAGGTAGGTGGTGAGGTGTGATGGTAAACTTTTTAATGTTCTTATAATATTTTCAGGGCCTATATATAGATTCATAATTCGTGCCTACGCTACTTTGCGTGTGGCAGATGTCAGTGCATGTCTTTTCCACGGCGCCATGCAGATTCTGACTATAATTATGCTAAAATAGTGTTTAGACAAGCCGCAGTAAAGCTACGCGAGTCATCTAGTTGTCATGGTTGACAGAATGGACGTACGTCCGCGTAGTAGCTTAGTGAATCGCACCTTAACCCACGCGCACCCTATGCTGACCTATAGCTGTCAGTTGGCTTGACGCGCGCATATGCAGCGCCGTATGCCTAGGACCAGTTTACGCCAGCCAGCCGTGCTAAGCACCTTTGATGAATCTAGACCCTAGATATCCTGAATCATGAATGGTCCATTGCGTAGATACCTAGCAAACGTTGGTGTTGCGTAATAAATCCACGCCCTTATAGGTGTCACGGGTGTGACAATGCCGTGACCCTGTTATGGAACCAGAGCAGAACTGGCCGTGTGTGTAATGCCAATGGCGTTCGGGGCCTTGTTTGGGGCAACCTAAATATTTACAGGTTAATGTTATATTCTCTATTTCACAAAACCTGCGTGAAAGAAGAATCTCTACGCCGTTCTCTGCGTCCCTATTGGTACGGTTTCGCTGCAATAAACCGTCGTAAAAATGCCACAACTTTGCGATACCGGATAAAAACCCCGGTACTGCGCTGGCGTGAATTTTCTATGACACCCCGCCGCCATGTTTAAATAACGAACAACAACAGGTGAGACAGGTAAGGCGTCAAGGTGCGCTTTGAATATAATTTTTAATTTAATGTAAACTCCGTGTGTATTTAGCGAGAAATCAGTCGACCTTCCAGTATTAGAATGTATGGCGCGTATTACGTACAATGTTTGCTTGAGTTGTATTACACTCACGTACAGCGCTAGGAATCAGTAATCTTCGATAAATTGCGTTGCACTGGGCGTGGAATCCGTTAAATTGTTTCTTCACGAAACATGACTAAACGTGCCAACTGACTGCATCGATCGCTGCATCAAAAAGCTTGCTTTAATACTTACGCGTGGTGGAAGTGCATGGCGTAAATTAGTGATGTTCCTGGAAAGACTAACACACATTAGACTTGTTGATAAAACAGCAACAACGCAC